GGAGGATTGGCCCAGCTGGGGACACCAGCGAACACCTGTCCACGGCTTCCCTACAGAAGCATCGGCTGCGCCTGGTGGCCACTGATGGGGCCTTTTCCATGGATGGCGACATCGCCCCCCTGCGGGAGATCTGCCACCTTGCCTCTCGATATGACGCCCTAGTCTTTGTGGATGAGTGTCACGCTACTGGCTTCCTGGGGGCCACTGGACGGTGGGAGCGTGCATCTCCTTGGGTTGGGCTTCTGGGAATGGGTGGGAAAGCAGGAAGCCAGCCCTTCCCCTCACCCATGGTCCCTGGGCACTCAGGCAGCCAGTGGTGGCAGTGCTAGGTTCCCTTGCAGGGGCACGGATGAGCTGCTGGGTGTCACAGACCAGGTCACCATCATCAACTCCACGCTGGGAAAGGCACTGGGTGGAGCTTCAGGTACCTACAGGGTCATGCCCCTGGGGTCCCCTTATCCACAGGCAGGGCCCTGGACAGGTCTCAGGGCAGGTGGGGAGGGGAGGCTGGGACGGTACAGAAGAGGGCAGTGTGGACTGTCCTCCCAGGAGGGGCTCGGGGTAGGCTCTGGCACCTGGCCTCTGACTCCCACCCTCACCTCTGCCCTTGTCCTCAGGGGGCTACACGACGGGGCCTGAGCCCCTGGTGTCCCTGCTCCGGCAGCGCTCCCGGCCCTACCTCTTCTCCAACAGCCTGCCCCCTGCTGTCGTCGGCTGTGCCTCCAAGGCCCTGGACCTGCTTATGGAGAGCAATGCCATTGTCCAGACTATGGCAGCCAAAACCCAGCGGTGCGGTCCCCGGCAGGGGTGGGACAGGCTGGGGGTGGGGGAGCTGGTAGGGGCCTGCCCCCGTGTGCCCACCCTCTGCCCATACCTTGCCTCCAGCAGATTGCACTGGGACTCAGCCCTTTTAACCAAGGGCTGCCTGCCCACCCACCTTCCTCTTCTCTGTCTCCCTCTTCCTTCCATTTCCTGGTACATTACTCCATCAATGACCCTGTGTCTCCCCATCTTGTATTATCCTGTCTTTTCACTCTCTGGTTTGGTCTGCTGGTTCCCCTGCCCGGCTCCGCATCTGCATCTGGCTCTGTTGGTCCATCCTGCAGACTTGGGCACAGATCACGGGCCCATCAGGAGTGGGTGTGAACCCTCCACAGTCCCCTGGCTACCTGTGACACCCAGCTTGTGCCCACAGTTTCCGCAGTAAGATGGAGGCTGCTGGCTTCACCATCCTGGGAGCCGATCATCCCATCTGCCCAGTGATGCTGGGTGATGCTCGGCTGGCCTCTTGCATGGCAGATGACATGCTCAAGAGAGGTGAGGAAGCCGGGACAAGGAGACCGGTTATGGGTCTTCAGAGAAAAGAGGAGGGAGCCCCTGTACTATGAATGCTCCCCCATGCCTTCCTCCAACGACCCTCTCGAGACGAGCTGAAGAGCCCAGGCCATGACTTATTTGCATGTCTGGGACACCTTAGGCAACTCCCTTGCCCTCTGTGACCCTCAGGGGAGTAGGAACCATGTGTCATGTTTCCCAAAGTGTGTGTGGCTTTGCTGAGCCCCAGGTTGACCCTTTCTACTTTACCAGGCATCTTCGTCATCGGGTTCAGCTATCCAGTGGTCCCCAAGGGCAAGGCCCGGATCCGGGTACAGATCTCAGCAGTGCACAGCGAGGAGGACATCGACCGCTGTGTGGAGGCCTTCGTGGAGGTGGGGCGGCTACATGGGGCCCTACCCTGACGTGGCTGGTGACCAGCAGAGCCAAGATCCCCCTCCCTCCACACTGACAAAAGGCCCTTCGGTCAGCCTGGGCCAGAGGCTCTGAACCCTGTCAAAGTCCTGGGGCTGGGCTGGGGCAAGGCCCGTTCTTGTGGTTGAGAGTGTCAAGCAACAATGTGGAAACGGGCTGACATGTCAGTGTGCTTCATTCTCTCTGGGCAGGCCCAGTCCTGTGACCAGTTGAAGAATCAGGTGGGAGCTGAGGCTCCTGAGTAGGTTTCAGAGCTGACTGCTATCCTAGGTTAAGATGAGACGCAGGCTGTGGGGATAATGTGGGTAGCCACACACCCCCCAATCGGATTCTGTGCTGCTGGAGAGGACAGCTACCAACCCTGCAGGCCCTTTCCCACCCCACCCATGCCATTTGCTCTTCAGCCTCCAGAGAACACCTCGTTTTCTGCCCCCCCCAATTCAAAGGATGGTTTACAGCTGCCCAGATAAGGAGGGGCTGGGCACCCAAACCTGCCCCAAAGGAAAGAACGTGGGTCACTATTGGAAAGGCCCCTGACAGTTTGGAACCATGTATTCTAGCCCACTTTGGCCCCTGGGCAGGCCCCTTCCCCTCTGTGTGCCTCAGTTTCCCGCACTACCAAGAGTAGATGGTACAGAGTAACTGGGCTCCTTCCAATCCCTTTCGGTCCAAGGCCTACGGGCCTGCTGATCAGCCGCCAGGGGGCGTAGCGAGCTCAGGCTCCGGCTGCTATTGCCGCGCCCCACCAGAATCCAGGCCTCCGCAGGCAAGGCTCTCCGTAGAGTTGATTTGCTGCTGCCAACGCCCCGTCCACACTTGTCCCCAGAAGGGGCTCGCTGCTCCCCTAGTGGACACCTTCCTGTAGTCGCTGTCCCTGGTCCTTGTCTTTTCATTGCCGTCCCCACTCAGCTTTATGGGCACGGGGAGGGGGGGAGGCCCAGGCAGGATAGGTTCTGACTCACTCGGCTCCAGCCTCATTGGGGTGTGGCCTTGGGAAGCTCGGACCTCGCTGGACGTAGGGCAGGGAGGATGAAAACGCCCTTCTTCGTCCACAACAGGGAACTAGGACCCCCTCTCCGTGTCCTCGAACCCCCAGCCCTGCCCTTAGCCTGGCTGTCGGGATGGACGGTCTGGGCCAGCGGCTGCGATCCTAACTGGGATTCTAGGAATCTTAGCTTGTGGTCGGAAGGGGCTTGAGGCTGGGGTCCAGGAGCTCCACGCGCTGGGAGATGGCCGCCCAGGGAAGAGGGCTGCTGTGGCCACAGCAGTAGCTGGAATACTCGGGAGAGCCGCAGCCACGCGGTCGTGTACCTGGCGCAGGCGCACCGTTGCAGCAGCGAGTGCCTATGGCCTGGCACCAGCCTCGGGCCCAGCCAGCCCCTTAATGTGCGTGATCTGCGTAGGCCGGCGGGTTACACGGGGTGGCCCCAAGCAGCCACCGGGCAACGCATTCCAGCAGTAGGTGTGGCGTGTCCGGCAGGGACAGAAAGCCGCGCCCAGGTCCACCCGTCAGTGGCTCAGAGCACGCGCCGGCTCGTCCTGCGGCTCCCGGGCGCCCCCCGGCGGCTGGCGTGGGCGGCTGCGTTGCCGCGATAGCGCGCCCCGCCGTCGGTCAGCTCGCGGCTGTGCCGGCTCCCGTCCGCGGAGGTACAGAAGGGCTGGTGGGAAGAACCCGCGGGAGCCGCGGGCACTCTGGGCGCACATGCTGCGGGTTGGACGCGTGCTGGTAGTGGCCCCACGGCCGTGGGTCGGCCGCACCTCCACCTCCAGAGACCGCTCCCACGGCTCACGGTCCACGTCTTCTGCGTCCGGCTCTGGGTTCAAGGCTGCGGCCTCCTGGAGCAAGAGAAGGAGGGGGCGCCAGGGACGTGCTGGGCTCCGGCCTTGGCCTTGACAATGCGGTTTTTCCTGCCTGCTGCTCGCCAGCCCTCTGTGGTTGCCTCCTGCCCTCCCTCCTTCCCTCTTTCCCTCTCCCACTCCCCCTGCTTATGTTCCCTCTCTCGCTGTGTCCCTGTCTAGTGAATAAATACAATCTTTTTTTAAAAAACCAAACAAACAAAAAACGAAAAAAACCTCTGAGCACACAGGAAAATCCCAGGGGTCTGGGAGATGCTAGTCCTAGAGTTTCTTCCCCAGTTCCTTGGGCCTTGAATGCAAGTCCTGGCTCTATCAGTGTCCCAGTGTCCCCTCAAACTATTTTCTCTTCCCTTTCACGGACTTCCTATTAACATTCCCGCCTACCTCCCAGCTTCTAGAAAGACCACAAGCAGTCCCTACCACCTCTTCTCTCCTTAAACTCATTGCAGACTCTTTTGCCCCCAGTACACTTGTCCAGTTTACAAACAACCTCACTGTTATGAAATCCAGGGTACCTCGCCCCCTCTTCCCATCCCTGACTAGTCTCTCTAACCCTCTGGAGGCATTTGGCCATGTGGCTCACTTCTCCCAAGAGTTCCAGGCCAGAACCTCATGCCTGATTGAATCACACAGCCATGAAGCAAGACAGACTAACCTCTTTGGCTTCTGCCAGCACAAGAGGCTCATAATGGATCAGTCATTAAATCACTCCCCCTCTGTCCATCCTTTTCACGCCAGGCCAAAATAAACCAATTACAAGTTAAATGGGCAGATCATGTCCCTGCTCTAAAACTTTCACTAGTTCCCCATTACCCTCAGGCTAAAGCCAGACTCTGGATGGACCCAAACACCCTCCATCTCCAGACGCACTGAGCCTCTGAACAAGCTTAGGAAAGTTGACGGGCCCCAGGATTCTCAGGAACTGGGGGGGAGTCCAGAAAAGAGACTCCTATTCTGGTTTCCTAGCCTGGGACACCCCATTCAAGATGAGAAACCCTTTCCGAGCTTGGATTAGAGCCCTCCTTGGGGCAGAGAGAGGGAAGACGGGGAGTGAATCATTAGGCTGGAGGTGGGAGTGCCAGGAACGGGCTGGGCCCCGGGCACGGAGGGGTTAACTCCAAAGCGAATCTCGGAGAGCGAGATCAATGGGTTACTTACTGCAGAAAGAGGCAGAAGCAACGCAGGGAGGCAGAAAAGAACCAGGCAGAAGAGCATGCCACCCGGGGGAAATCAGGGACCAAGGAGGAGGTGGCCGGTGGCTACTCCGGAGCGAGCGCCCAAGTCTGGCTCAGCGGAGGAGGTGCCTTACAGGAGAAGAGGGAACAGCGGGAGGCAGACCTGCACCTACAGGGAGGTGCCAAGGGGTAGCCTTTCTGGCCGGTTCACCCAGGACCAAGCAGAGCCCTGTGCCCAGAGTTGAGGTGGGTGTTACCCATCCTGAGCCTCAGGGGGCTTGCTGCATGCTGGGGGTTGGGGGGGGCGCAGATACCACCTTTCTTCCCTCCACCCTGCCTCGCCCCATGCTCTTAATGTGTCCCACCAACCCAGAGGTCCCAGGCAAGCAGGGGGATCCACAGGTAGTAGCTGATAGGGCCGAGGGATGGAGCAAGGGTGAGAGTGGGCACGGCGGGCATAAATGCGCATGCACGCACACACACACGCGCTCACACTTACTCGCATGGGGGTCGGAGGCCCCACCTGTTACAGGCTGTCAGCTGAGCGCTCCAGCCTGGGAGTCAGGGTACCAGGCGGCAACAGCCCCAGGTCTGCCACTCAAAGTGTGATATTAGCCTCCCATGTCCCCTCTCTGAGCCTCAGTTTCCTCTTGTGCGAAAAGGGGGTCAGTGGCCTCTATGGTTTTCCCAGCTGTGCCACTGTGGGGCTTTCACTAAACCGGACTTTACGATGACTCAGGGATATCACCCATGTTTTGCTGACTTTGACCTACGTCCGATTCTCCCCCTGAGCTTCCAGCCCCTGCGGAGAAGTAAGGTCCGTCTATCAGCAGCTTGGCTTGGGCTCGCCCCTCCCCCACCTCCCGGGTCCTCAGCCCATTCTGCTGGGAGGTATCCATCGCCTAATCCTTTCTCAGTGGGGTGTTCCCTAGGAAACTGAGAAACCCACCTCAGACACGTAGGCAATTGTGCCCGGCTTGCACAAGTGGATCTCAGGGAGAACCTGTGGCTGTCGCCCTCCTCCCAGCGCCATGCCCCCAAGAGCTCCCTGCGCCCAGGAGACATGGCCAGGCCAAGGCCGGAGGGCCTGGATGGAGACCCCGCGGTCGTGTGACCAGAGCCGGGAGCTCCTGTCTGAGGACTCCAGCTTCTTTCCCTCAGGTGTCCATCGGATGGGAAGATGGCTGATGCGCAGAACATTTCGCTAGACAGCCCAGGGAGCGTGGGGGCCGTGGTGGTACCCGTGGTGTTCTCCCTCATCTTCCTGCTGGGCACTGTGGGCAATGGGCTGGTGCTGGCCGTGCTGTTGCAGCCCAGCCCCAGTGCCTGGCAGGAGCCGGGCAGCACTACGGACCTGTTCATCCTCAACCTAGCAGTGGCCGACCTCTGCTTCATCCTGTGCTGCGTGCCCTTCCAGGCCGCCATCTACACGCTGGACGCCTGGCTCTTCGGGGCCCTCGTCTGCAAGGCTGTGCACCTGCTCATCTACCTCACCATGTATGCCAGCAGCTTCACACTGGCCGCCGTCTCTGTGGACAGGTGCGCTGGGCCTGGGACCTGGCTGGGTCTGGGCTGGGGAGGGAAGACCTAAACAGATTCCTTAGGAAGGAGAGCTTGGGGGACCAAAAAGGGAGAGGATGGCAGGGAGAGAAGGAACAGCTCTCTGGCCCCTACCAGTCTCTGCGCACCTGCAGAGCCTGCTCGAGTGGACCATCCTGCCCCCCACCTCCCAACTCCACCGTGAGCTTCCAGAAGACATCTCTGTGTCTTACATGCCAGCACAGAGGCTGGCACGTAGTAGGTGCTCCGTAAATGTGACATGAATGGCAAAAAGAACACATGAATGAATCCATCGGTTACTTTATTACCGCCCACACCCAGCCTAGGCTGTGGTCATACCTGTTTTCGCCGTTCCAGACTTGGGGTCCAATCCAGGCTTGGTGACCTTGGGCAAGTCTCTTCCCTCCGAGCCTCTATTCCGGCCTTGCTAGGAGGTGCCAGGCGCTGCTCCAAGCGCTGGGCGTGTTACTGACCTCCACCCTAGCCCGCCACGGGGCGAGGCGGGTCGCGGGTCCGCAGATAGCGTCCCCGCGGGGTACGGGGGGTGGGGAGCGCGGGGCCCTGCCGCCCACCGCGCTGACCCGGCGCCCGCCCGCAGGTACCTGGCCGTGCGGCACCCACTGCGCTCGCGGGCCCTACGCACGCCGCGCCACGCCCGCGCCGCCGTGGGCCTCGTGTGGCTGCTGGCGGCGCTCTTCTCGGCGCCCTACCTCAGCTACTACGGCACCGTGCGCTACGGCGCGCTCGAGCTCTGCGTGCCCGCCTGGGAGGACGCGCGCCGGCGCGCCCTCGACGTGGCCACCTTCGCCGCCGGCTACCTGCTGCCGGTGGCCGTGGTGAGCCTGGCCTACGCGCGCACGCTGCGCTTCCTGTGGGCGGCCGTGGGCCCCGCGGGCGCCGCGATGGCCGAGGCCCGGCGCAGAGCCACGGGCCGCGCGGGGCGCGCCATGCTGGCGGTGGCCGCGCTCTACGCCCTCTGCTGGGGCCCGCACCACGCGCTCATCCTCTGCTTCTGGTTCGGCCGCTTCGCCTTCAGCCCGGCCACCTACGCCTGCCGCCTGGCCTCGCACTGCCTCGCCTACGCCAACTCCTGCCTCAACCCGCTCGTCTACGCGCTCGCCTCGCGCCACTTCCGCGCGCGCCTCCGCCGCCTTTGGCCCTGTGGCCGCCGCCACCGCCACCGCCACCGCCGCGTCGGGGCTCCCCCGGGTGCCCGTCGCCGCGTCCGCCCCGCCGCCTGCCCCGGGGACGCCCGGCCTCGCGGGAAGCTGCCGGCGGGCGGCAGCCGGGCTGACGATCCGGGGGAAGGGCCCGCCCGCGCCTTAGAGGCTGGACCACGAGCCCCGTCTGCCCCAGGACCGGAATGAACCTCATCCGCCTCCCCTGTGCGCGGGGGACCGTCTGTCTGCCATTCCACTTCCCCCAGGGTATGGCGCCAGGCAGGAGTCCTCCGAGGCGAGGAGGCGCACTGGCTGAGCTGGGGCTCCAGTCCAGTGGACGCCCCTGGGCCTGGGCCGTGAAATTGGGTCCCCCCATCCCGGCTAAGCGCAGGCTCCCCGGGCCCGACAGCCCCCAGATTCTGGCCATAGCCAGTCTGGCTCCAACTCAGTCAGCGGCTTCCAGGCCCTGCCCTTCCTCAAGTCCCTTTTCCCATCCAAGCTGTTCCCTGGGTAATGTCACGACGCTAGCCAGCCGCTAATTCAGCAAATAGTTGTGAAGCATTCACTGTATATCTTATGCGGTGCTACATTCTTCAGTCTAATTAGCAAAGCAGCTTTGCAACGTAGGTGGGATTAGTTCCATTCCTGCAGTTGGAGAAATCAAGAATCAGAACGCGTTCGGGGGGGGGGGGGGGGGGGGGGGGGGGGGCGCCTGGGTGGCTCAGTAGGTTAAGTCTCTGCCTTCTGCTCAGGTCGTGATCTCAGGGTCCTTGGATTGAGCCCCACATCGGGCTCTCTGCTCAGCAGGGAGCCTGCTTCCTTCTCTCTCTCTGCCTGCCTCTCTGCCTACTTGTGATCTCTGTCTGTCAAAAAAATAAATAAAATCTTAAAAAAAAAAAAACAAAACGCGTTCGGGATTTGGGGCACCCGGGTGGCCGGGTCAATGGAGCATGTGACTCTTGACCTCAGGGTTGTAGGTTCTGAGCCTGTTGGGTGTAGAGATTATATAAAAATAAAATCTTTAAAAACAAGCAAACAAAAAAGTTCAGCAATTTGCCCAAGGTCACGTAGCTAGTGTCCGGCGGAAGCTGGTTGAAACCCGCGCCATTTAACTTTGTCTGCTCCCTGGAACCGGCTTCACCTCTGGGGCCTCTGTTCTCAGTTTCTGTGTTTTCCAAGGTTTTCCTTGGTCCTTCGTGATTCTGTATCGGCCGTCTTCCCTAAACCAGCAGCTCCCACACTTGACTGGATGCTCTGGAAACTTCAGAGAGCTCCCAGTCCCCTCCCTTAGCATAGATCTGTTCAGCCACTCAGGCCAGCTGATGGCCTTATGAGTCCTGATGGCCTTCCCCAGCCTTCCCCAGCCACCCGGTCCCAGGTCTACTGTCTGACCCAAATCCCTTGCATCATTCCCTCAGCCACTCGCTGCTCCTGGCTCAGGTGAGACACGGACCCACACTTAGGTCCCAGCCAGCAGCCCCGGCTTCCCCGTGGCCCCCTCCCTCCCTGTCCATGCATACAGCGGGGTAGTCCGTGGCTGTGGCAACCTGCTAATTAACCAATAAATCAGTCTCAATGGTTGGAGAGCTACCCACTTCCCTCCCTCCCTCCCCCCACCCCACACCAATAATATTTATTAGCTCAGGCTGAGGCCTGAGACCTTTCAGCCTCCTTGTCTCCCTGGCACACCTCCCAGCTGCTGGGCACCCTGGGAAGGCCCCTCCGGGACACCAGGCAGCTGCTGATCCGCCTCACTGCCTGCCACCTGCCGCAGAGCCAGGGGTCAGAGTGTCAGTCACCCTTCACAGGGGAAGGCTGAGACGGGCTGGGCAAGTGACCGCTTTGAGAGCCCAGCGCAGGGGCCTGACCCCAGGTCCAGTGTTCTCTCTACTGCGTCTCTGCCAAGGTTCCTGCAGCTGGCTCTGGCCCCAACGGTGGGAGTGTTTCCCAGATGGCAGGCCGCCCGCGAGGCCTCTACCTCCGCATGGCGGTCGCTCACTCCTGCACTGGCTCCCCTGTGCGTCGCAGACAAGAGATACTACCTCCATTTTCACAAGTGGAAACTGAGGCTCCAGGACATGAGGTAGGCTGACCAGAGCTGGGATCCGACCTGGGCCCGACGGAGGGCTCTCCTGGCAGGCTGAGCAGCATGGGAAAACATCTAAGACCACCCGACAAAGTTTGCCACACCACACTGGTGAGTTCCTGCTAAGTAGAACAGGGAGCGACATCTCCTTGGGCCAGCCACCCTGCTGGGCTGCCGCTCCTTGGTCAGGTCTTCGAGCAGGGACAGGCACCCGACTGGGAACGTCGTCCATCCCAGACAGGCAAGAGACAGGATCACCTTGCCAGGGAGGGGCAGAGCCAGTACAAACCTGCATGAAACTCCAGGCCCAGGGTGAGTGGAGGGGGGCGGTCAGGGGGAACCCTCCACAGTGGCCTGGGTCTCTGCTCCCCTGGCAGAGGAACCGTGGTAGAACCCAGGCCCCTGGCTGGACTCCAGGGCCTCCTACTTCTGAAGGGAGTCTCTCTGGCCCACTGGAGGCTCTGACTAATGGAGGACAGAAGAGCCCGGACCAGAGCAGGACAGGAAAGGTGTTTGATACACAAAGATGGAGATGATCCTTCCCTTCCTTCTTTCCTTTACCCCCCCCCCCCCCCGCCAGGCATCTGGGTGCCTGCCTTAAGCTATGCCATGAGGGGAGCACAGAGAGGGTCTGAGTCTGACCTGGTCCCTGTCTTCCAGGAGCTCCTCTGTCTAGCTGGAGAGGAAAACACCAAAAGAAGGAAAGACAGCGCTGTGTGGCGAGGCCGGTATGGGAGAACACACAGTTCTGAAAGGGCACAGAGGAGGAAACTCCTGCCTTCCTGGGCAATCCAAGCAGGAGTCCCGGAGGAGGTGGCAGTTCCTAAAAAAGGCGAAAGGGGTCTGCCAGCTGGAGCAGCAGCCTGTGCCAAGGTGGGTACAGGCAGGAGCAATAGGGGGCTTGTGCAGTTGAAGCAAACCGGGTGGGAGGAATCTGGGGAGGCCAGGAAGGCGGGTGCAGTGAGATCACATGGCCTCCTGGGCCAGCCGGAGGAGCAGGAACCTCATCCTTCGGCAGGCGGTGATGCCACTGAAGGTTTTTAGGATGGGCCCCGCCAAACGTGTAGCTGGGAAGCCCCCAGCCTGGCTACATGGAGGCTGGGCTGGAGACACCAGGCAGGCAGCGAGCCACCGATCCAGAGGCGGCTCTATGAGCCTTCGGCCAGGAAGGCCGCCACCAAGGGCCTGGCCTGGGGCTGGGAAACTCTTTTGCCTTGGATTTGGCAGGAAGACTGATGGCCTGCTGCTGGGCTTGGGCTCGGCCTCGGAGACCCCTGGGTCTGCTTCAGGCGCCTAATGAAATGCTTGGAAGAGCAGATGGTCATAGTATTTTGGCTTGGAGAGAAATGTGAATCCTGTAGGGCCCCAGGCGGGCACGGGGGGCTGGAGGAGGGGCCAAATGTGCTCTGGCCATTCTCTGAGGCCCTGAGCCCCCAGCAGGATCTCAGGCTGGGCCTGGGGACAGCCTGGGGGTCCCAATAGGAGTTGAGTTGTAAGGAGGTCTGAATTCTGCAGTCCTCTCATCCTCCTGTTGGTGCAAACTGCTCAGGGAGGGGCCTGCAGTGCTCATGACTGAGCATTTACTAGGCACGGAGTTCTTCTGAAGGAGGAAAAGGCAGAAGCATGGGGGCTTAGAGGAGCCCAGAAGGCCCCAACCCAGCTTAGGCAGGCAAGGAGGACTTCCTGGAGGAGCTGGTGCCCAACCCAAGTCCTAAAGTAGGAGTCAGTCAGGGTAGATGGGGAAGGGAACAATGGAAGAACATGGGCGGGCACAGGCCACCTGGCATCAGGCACAGCATGGTCTGCTGAGGATCTGCCACAGGTACAGAGGGGCCCCAGCAGGAAGTGAGGTGGGAGTGGTGGGGACAGTCTCAAAGGATTCTGTCAGTCCTCTTTGAAATTGAGGCTGTAAATTGTCCTGAGGGCAACAGGGAGCCACTGAAAGGTTGTAAACAGAAGAGTGAAAAGACTTCCCCTTTAGGGAACTTTCTGGTTGCCAGGCAGGCTTTCCTGGGGAGGAGGGCAGAATGAGATGGGGGCAGGGCAGGGACACCAGTTAGGAGGTTGGTGGGAGAACCTGGAGAGACAGAGATATCGAAGATGTTGATGGTGGGGATGTGAGGATAGACGGGACAACCACTTACAAGGTACACACGTTGGAGCCTGGTGACTAAATGTTGGGGGGTGTCCCAGCTGACATTCCAGACTTCTGGCCTGGGCTACTGGGGGTGACAAGGGGGGAATAATGGGGGCACATGTTTAGGGGGAACATGTTGAGACTCAGGGGCCTGGGGGGCACAGTGGGGGGTGTCCACAGGGCAGCTGCTACACTCAGGCCTTGTGCTTTGGCCCTGGAATGTGTCTCCTCTGCTTCAGAACTTGGAGATGGAGAAATGGAGGCCCCGAGAGATTAAGTAACTTGCCCAATGGGTCTACCTCAGGTCTGTCTGATCTCTGTTCCACAGTCTTTAGGGAGAAGAGGCAGGAAGGAGTTGATTGAAGCGGAGGGAGGAAGTTGAATGTGCAAAGGTGACCCCATCCCCGCCCGCCCCCGCTCACCACCCTGTGTAACAACGGTAGCCTAGGCCGACACTCAGTCCTGGGCAGGGTGATCGAGGGCAGGGCCCAGGCACAGCTGCTCAGCCCCTCTCCCTGCTTCAGGCTGGCAGGAACGGCATCATTCATCAACTTCGAGGTGTGTATCTGGGGATGAAAATACCAATTAACCACCCCGAGACTTCCTGTTAATGAACACCAGTTCCTCGGGCCTGACTCAGGGCTCATTTGCGAGCTGCCAGCCAGATCCAAGAAGGCATGAGGCCAGAGGAACAAGCTGTGCACGGGCGGGAGGCGGGGGGGCACGGCTTCTGGCTTAAGTGGACAACACTCTGATTTACTGAGGCATCTGCTTGATGCCACGTGGTGGCTCAGGCTCTGTGCAGGGGTGATACAGGAGTGGGAGGTGGGGCGCTGTGCAGGGCAGGAGCTCAGAGTTCCTGGAATGCTGGGGAGGGTGCCGGCCTGAGTGACTGATGGGTGGACGGGACGTGCAGGGTTGACACAGAGCGGTCGGTGGCAGAGTGCAGAGGTCAGGGTACCTGGGGAGTCAAATTTGAACCCC